AGGGTCTGTGAAAACCGTCCCCTCCCTGCAACCTGCCTGCTGAGGGTCACCAGGACCATGCTCCTGCACTGTGAGCAGGGGAACTCCCAAACCTGGGCTCCTGCTGGGCGAATTACCCAGGGAAAATAGGCAGAAAATCTTCAGATTAACAATAACAAATAAAAATGGATTTGAGATCTCCGAGGTAATTACTCCATACTGAGGGCAAGGGGCCTCTTTAGCAGTGGGAGCAGAGCCGTGCGGGGAGTGGAGGGGCTCGGCCTGCTGTTGGGCCAATGGAGCCACACAAGAAACCCTGGAAATTCTTTCAAATTGTTCTGCTAACATTAATAAACGCCTCAAAAGCTCCTAATCTGCTCTGTCAGAAGCATGACGTACGGGTGTTTCACAGCCAGCTCACGTCTCTGCTCCTCTCTCCCCCCCTTCTCCTTCCCTGCCTGGTAATAGTAAATGAAAGTGGCACCCGTTCCTCGGGCTGCAGGGACCAGCCTCACGCTGAGCTCGGGCTCTGCCGGGGCTGGAGCCGCTGTCCTGACGTGCCCTGGCCCCTCTGCGACAATGCTGGTCCTTGCAGAAAGACCAGAGTCCCTCCAGAGCCAGTCCAGCCCCAGTGCTGCAGAGGGATGCTGTGACAAGGTGCCTCCAGGGCCGGTTTGGAGCTGCTCAAGGGTGAGGAAAGGCAGACACAGCATGGATGCAGCATCCTGAGGGGACTGACCTTACTGGGTGGCTGCAGGACAAAGAGCAGCGGGGAAAGCTGGAGGCACCGGGGAGCCTGGTGTTGGTGCCCCCTGCACTCACTCCCAAGGGTCAGGGCAACCTCTCCCAAGCCTCCCTCCCTCTGAATCTGCACTGTGGAGCTGGGGCTTGGGCTCCTTCCCCAGTTGCTGAGCAAGTCAGGGGGTTATCAGGCACTGGCAAGGCTCTCCTCAGCCTGGTGCTGCGGGATCTGCGTGCGGGGCTCGGATAACTCCGAGGCAACAGGGCCGTGGCATCCTGCTTTTCCCCCACTGCTGACACCGCCCAGGTTTCCACAGGAAGCTCCTGAGCACATTCAAAGGCATCCTCACTTCTCCCCTCCCCCCCCCCCCCCCCCCCCCCCCCCCCCCCCCCCCCCCCCCCCCCCCCCCCCCCCCCAACACAAGCCGCTCTCCTCTTCTTGCAGTTTGCCCGTGGCTCCTCGTTAAGCCGGGTTCCCAGTGGTGGCAGGGATTTGGAAGGGTTGGCTTTGATGGACCTCTCCAGTGGGGTGTCGGCCAGGACCGTGGGGGGTCACTTTGTGCTGGAGCTGGGCACTGCAGTGTGCAATTACAGCAGCTGCAGGAGCACAGACTTCAAACCAGGGATGCTGGGAGGGAGCTGAGCCTAAAGGGCTTCCAGAGGAGAAGTGTCCAACTGAGGGACGATGCTCCGGTTGCATCAGCGTTGGCCCAAGGTGGGAATGGTTGACAACCTGGTGTTGGAAGTTTGTTTCCACGGCCCCTTCTCGCTTTTCATCCCCTCCAACCTGCTGTTTGCAGCCCCCTCTCCTCCAAAAGTGCTCTGTCCTAGAGCCAGGACTCAGCTCTGCCCTGAACGACTAGCTCTGGGCAGCATCACTTGTTGGGGACAAAGCTTTCTAACACAGCCTTTTGCTCCTGTGTTTTCCAGTGAACTTGCTAGACACGTCAACAATCCCGGGGGACTGGGGCTGGATGACTTATCCCTCGCATGGGGTAAGTATGAAGCGGCTGTTGGCACAGAGGGCACCCAGTGGGACAGGTCACCGTGGGCCCCCGTGGCAGGGGGTCAGGGGATGGACAGGAAATGGACATCTCAGCCCCCAGGTCAGTGCTGATGGAACAAAGTCTGGTGGGAAAGTGCCAGCCTAAAAGACTGGCAGTGGGAAGCAGCTGTTTCAACCCTCTACGTCCTCTGCTAGGGATGAGATTGTCACCATGTCCTGAGTTTTGAGGGGAATCAGGAGGTGGGACTCATGCTGAGAAGCATCTCATTCCTTGCTGCATCAGAGGGAACATCCATAAACACCTGGGAAGCTCCCAACTGCCTGTAATCAGAGGAGTTTCTGTGGGAACTGGGCAAGAGGGTCAGGGAGGCCTCCCCTGCAGATAGTTCTTTATTGTGGAATGGGGATGCAGACACACAGCCCTGTGGCGTGGCCAGGAGGGATGTTAGGGTGGTGACCCCCATGTGAACCTGCCATCTACACTGGCTGGATCCTCTCCCCGTGCCCCCTTCACTTGCATTTCCATACCCAGGTTTTCCTGCTGCAGCAGCTTTCAGGAAATAAGAGTTTCAGATGTCAGAGTGACCCGGCTGGAAGGATTTTTCTCATTCATTTAGGGAACAGAAACAATCCCATAAATACCCACAGGACCAACTGCAAGGCACAGTGGGGCTTGCTGCAGGCACAAAACGTGCCAAATTGGGGTGCCTACCTGGCTGTTTCTGCTGTGTTGATTTTTCGTGTCCGTTCTTTTTCATCCTTTCTCTGAACTAAACGGTCCTAATCTTTTCAATTCCACCTCCCACAGAAATCTTCCCAGGCCTCTAATAATTTTCATTGATCTGTTGCTTGAGACTTTCAGTCCCCACGCTGCTTGAGCAGGAGTGATCAGAACGGTGAATTCATAATAATACCAATGATCAGATTTCTATCAGGCTTTATCGTATATGTAAATATATTAAATCGTTAACTCAGCTCTAATTTTAGCAGTTAGCTGCTGCAACGATGAGTATCCTGGGAGTGTAATAGATTGAGAGGTACAAGGTCAGAGGGGACCACGGAACTAATGTGATGTGATCTCCTGCATAAATACAGGCCTTCAGACCTGTCAGTTCATTCAGCTCTCAGAGCAGCTTTTAGGAAAAAACATCCTTGGCTGCAAAATTGCCAGTGCTGGTAAATCCTGCCAGTCCTGTGGCGATGCTGTTAACAGGCCCCTGTTAAAAAACCATCGCTGTGAGGGTTTGCCTGGCTTTGTCTCCAGCCACCAGACTTTCTTCTGCTGCTGCCTGCACGAGGCAGATGTTGTCCTCTTCGTGGTCATCCATAGGGTTGTGTGTGGATCCCTGTCCTGTCACTACTCAGCTGTCATCTCCTCTCAGCCCTGCTGCTGAATCCTGGCATCCTGGAGGAGCCCAATGCACTTTCAGGGAGCCAGGGACCAGTCTGCTCCCCTGGGAAGGAGAATTTTTCTGGGTTTTTCTGTGAGTCAGGGCTGTTTTCCTCCGTCCACATCCAGTGCTCTGCCTTTCATCGCTCCCTAGGCAATTCCTCGGCATAGTCAGATACTCTGTCACTCACAGACTGCCCAAGGCTCTCCTTCTGGATCCTCTTCCATGAGTCCAGCTCTCCTGATGCCTCTGTGGCCCCATCCCCAGGCCCATTGCTTGTTGCCATGACCCATCCCATCACCAAGGGGACTTGGGTGAAGATGAATCCACCCGAGCTGGTTGTTCTGGGCATGGCCTTGCACTCCCAAAGCAGACAAAGGATTGAGCCCAAAGGAGCCTCATTCTCACCCCAGTAGGGTGGTTAAGGTGCAGCATCCTGTACTGCACGTTCACAAATCCAGGGGATGAATCCAGGGGATGTATCCATTTGGGCTGTCCAGTGTCATGCATTGGGTGACCACAGAGTGCTGTGTCTGTCTCAGGGCACTCACTGCTGTGCTGCTCCTCCACAGCAGATGCCCAGCAGCCCTTCACCAGCAGCTCCTGAGCACTAACACATCTAAAGTCTCCATCTTATTCGTGATGTTTGCTAAAAGTATATAATAATAAAAAAAAATAACAAATATAATAAATGTAATAAATGTAATAAATATAATAACTTATTAAAAGGGTGCAGGACTTCCTCACAGGGTATCTGTGCCATCCATAGACAGACACAGCATCCTCCTGCATTGTCTCCCCAGATGAAGTCACGTTTGTTTTGCTTTACCCACATCTCCATTTTCCCCCAGGGCCACCACAGGGGTGACAGTGGGAGGTGGGTAGCTCTGCCTGGGTCTTTGCGTGGCACTAAGCGGCACAGAGCCTTGGTCCCCAGCCTGAGGAGCCTCAGGAAGGGACTTGTGTGTGCTAGCTCACTCCTTAGTGCCCTACAGCTTTGTTTTCCAGCACCTGCAGGTCCTGTCCCACCTCTCTGGGTGTTCTGGGGGTGCCAGAGGAAAGGCAGCAGCGTCAGGGGTTTCTTCCTCTGGACAGGTTGATCCTAGAACTGCCCACACAGTCAGGGCAACGGTCCACTGGAAGGGTGTCACCCACAAAGTCCTGATGTTTTCATCCCACCTGTGGGCAAAGTGAACTTGCCTCACTGGCAGGTTGTTTCCCTTCTTGGCAAGAGGAGAGGAGCAGGGGCTGGGAGCAGTGGGCACGGTGAGAGCCAGCAGAGCTCCAGGCCCTGGGCAGTGTCAGGCCATCAGGGAGCCATGCCTGGCCTGTTTTGACATTTTCTCTTGCCAGACAATTAACTGAGGGGTAATTGGCTGTTATTGCTGCTCAGGGGTTTAATCGCAGCCCCCCCCCTCCCTCACCTCCACCCCGCAGACACGTGCAGGAAGCGGAAGGGTCAGCGGGAGCATCCCTGTCCCGCAGGCTGCGGCTCCTCTCAATTAGGACTTCAAAGGTCTCCCAGGAGCTTTTCAGCTCGCTCCTTTCCCAGAACAATTCCCCTTGCATTGAAAATTAAACTCTTATCAGTGCTGTCAAAGAGGCTGCCCCCTTTCCCCTCCCACACCTCCCTGTGTCCCAGTTCTCCCCAGCACAACGCCCCAGTGCCTTTCTCTCCCCTCTCCTTGCCTGGCTCATGACCCGCTGGATCAGAGGGAGCCCCGGACGGCCCCTTTGCAAATTGCTTTTCTACTGACTAATTAAAACGCTGATGAGATAAGTCAACATATTATTAATAATTATTGTATCGTCTGCTTTGATTTACAAAGTCAAACAGGAAGCGGTTTTGTTCAGACACGGGGTATCTGAGGAGCCTGAGTGACGCCTTGCAAAAGCTTATTAGAGCACTTTGAGTGCTGGAGAAAGGCCCACCACGTGCTGCCCATGACCTCCCCATCAGCACCTCTGAGGTCTGACCCCACAACACCCCCCCTTACTGCACGGGCTGGGGTCAGCCCAGAGGGGTGATGCTGGTGGGCATCTGCTACCCAGGCAGCTATCCCTGCACCTCTCACAGGACCTGAATGTTCTGAATGTCCTGAGCTGGAAGGAACCCACCAGGGTCATCAAGTCCAGCACATGTTGGCTTTGCAGGTGGGAGCACCAGGAAAGACCCTCAGAGGAGGATTGCAGCTCCCCATCTCTGCCCCTGCCGCTCCTCGGAAGGGGATGTATCCTGAGGCCCCCGGGCACAATTAGCCAAGAATGCTCCTCCCTCATCCTGCAGGGCTCAGGGAGAAAACTTTCAGCACCAGATTTGCCGAAACACCCAGCTGAGAGCACAGATGAGCCTGTAGGATTGTTTCCCAGCAGTGTTTGCGCATCAGGGACGGGGATTTCACGATGCTGTAAATGCTCCGGGACTGAGCTGTTTGCAGAGCAAAGCCCATGCACCAGGGGACTTCTTTTGCCTGGCTGTGCTCCTGCAGCCAACAACCAGTTCATGGCTTGGATGAGCCTTGTCTGTCACAGAGCGTGGGGACCCTTTGCCCCAAGCCCACCCTGTAAAACACCAGCCCCCAGTCCGAGCCGCACCATGTCCTTGCCATTGCAACTCCCATCAGGGTCATTTCTTTCTCCTCAGAGCACCAAGAGATATTGGGGCTCCCCCTTCTGCCCAGGCCATGTCTCTGCCCTCCCTCATTTCGATGTCCTTGTTGCATTTCTTCTGTTTCTCTTCCAAGCTGAAGCCTCTGCCTGGATCCAGGAATACCAGCAAGTTACGGCTCAAGCTGCGTTGAAATTAATTTTCTTTGGAAAAAAAAAAATATAGGTAGGAAGAGAACATTGGAAAATAAAGATTTAGACTAGTAATTGAGATAAAAGCTCATCTCCCAGTGCTTGTTCAGTAAATGCTGGGTTATTGCTAATTCCCCAGATGCTGGTCACTACCAGGAGTTAATCACCTGCAGTGAAGCTCAGGGTAGTTAACTGCCTGATAAATCCCTCCTTAGCCACAGCAGTGACTGATTTCATGGGGATTATCTCCATTAAGGCCTCCCATCTAATGATTTATAGCTGCAATAACATCCTTCTCTTTTTTTTTCCTCTCCCAGTAACAGTGGTGTGAGGGACCTGGCAGCTCCTGGGGAGGTGTTGTGGCTCACTGGGATGTCCCAGTGGCCACAAGAGCATTGCTATGCCAGGCAGACCTGGCATCCCTCCTTCAACCTGTCCCAGGGCTTGGGAGACCTCATCCCTTGGCACTGCAAGGATGGTGGGAGGCTGAGCTGCTGCTCCAGGGAGACACAGTCCATCCTCCTCTCCTCCTCCTTCTCCTTGGCTGTGCCACTCAGGCCCTGGGAGACTTCTAAGACCTTGCTCAGCTGCCCACATATCTGCTGTTTGCATCTTTTGCCTTTCATAATCTGGTAATTTTTATTTTATTTTTTTTTTTTACGACCAGTGTTGACTTTAATTTAAACTATTAGGCAAAAGCCCTGAGTGCAGATTGCAATCATGTGTCGTCCCCACTCCCCCCCCTCTCCAGAGCACGTGTGCTCACCATGTTAATTATGATGTCCTCATTTCCGTCTCGCTGGGGGATCTTATCGCAGTGGAGGGGCCGAGCTGAGCTTTGGTTAATAAAACCACTTCAACCCACCAGCTGGTGATGCTGGGGGTGGGCACAGGGCCTGCAGTCCTCGCCCAGTGGTACCCAGAGCCACAGGCACCTCTCCTTGCCCATGGAGCCTGTAACTGAGGTGACACAGAGAAACCCCTCCAGTCATGGGAATGCTCGAAGCAGGTCCCTCCATCCCCCTGCCAGCATCTCAAAGGCCTCCAGGAAGGCTGTAGAAGGACTTTTAGCAAGGTCAGACAGTGATAGGGTAAGGGAAAGTGGCTTTAAGCTGAAGGAGGGTAGATTTGGATTGGATATTAGGAAGAAATTCCTCCCTGTGAGAATGCTGAGGCCCTGGCACAGGTTTTCTACAGAAGCTGTGGCTGCCCCATCCCTGGAAGTGTCCAAGGCCAGGTTGGACAGGGCTTGGAGCACTTTGGTCTAGTGGAAGGTGCCCCTGCTGATGGCAGGAAAAAAAAATGGTCCCTTCCAACCCAAACCATTCTGGGATTCTACGATCCCAAATACCCTGCAGGTCCTGGGACCTGGCAGGGCTCATGGGACCTTGCTCTCCTTGTGACATTCTGGGAAGATGCTCCTGTGGCATCCAAGCCACGAGTTCAGGTGGCCTGCCTGCCCCCCCTCCAATCTCCACCAGCCATAGAGCGCTTTCACTGCAGGGCAGGTGTGGTGCTTTGGGCTGGTCTCAGGCTGGGATCCCAAGGCACTGCCCACAACCCCGGGACACAACTGACAGTGCAAAAAAAGCACCACATTTGAAAGACTGATGGTGCAAATGCAAACCCTCCAGGCTCACCTCTGGGGGCGGAGATGGGGCTGATGCCGACTGCTGCCGATTCTTGGAGGTGGAGGGCATTTTTATCTCCCTGTTCTTCCAGCTCTGGCAGTGCCACAAGGGTGTGGGGACGCTGCAGTCATGAGCTGCATCTCCCCTGCCAGACCTTGGGGGAGAAGTAAATGTGTGGAGACCCGAAGCAACCACACGAGCTGGAGCCAAAGCATTGTGGTGCACAAAAATAACCTCATCTTTCCCTCGCTGGGCACTCCTGGAGAGCCCTGGCCCCACGGGCATTGCCGAGGGGAGCTGGCTGAGCATCAGGAGGGTAATCCCTGCTCACTCCCCCCCCCCAGCTCTGCCCTCTCCCCGCGTGTCTCCTCCCATGCGCGGCTCTGCCTCACTTCCCCCGGGGAAACTCAGCAGGGAAAAGACAGGAAGCAGATGTTGTGTTAATTTGTGCTCGATTAATTTCGACAGCGACTTCCATACCCTCGGAAGAGCCTCAGCGTGTGCACAGGCGGGTGCGGGAGCAGGGACAGTCAGAGGGGCTGTGCCGTGCCTGGCTCTGCCCGCGCTCCTGAGCACCGCTGTACGCCCTGGGCGAGCAGCAGGAGAGTGTCCTGGGTGTCACAGCACCTTCTGCAGGCTCGTCTCTGTGGCTGGAGAAGCTGAGGGGTGCTGCCCTCACCCCTCCAGCCAAGCACACCGGTAGCCTGGCCCCTTTCCATGTTGTCCACCTGAGCTCAGTGACCCCGGGACAATTGGCATTTCTGGAATTCAGAAGACAAGGGGTTTTTTTAACGAACCAGAAACACTCTTCTCCTCTGGCAGTGGCTTGACTTTCACCCCCTTTGCAGACACATTCCCCTTGGAATGGGTTTCTGTGTTAGTTTGCACCTGGAGCTGCCTCCTGTTCCAGGTTACTTTAAGCTCTTTAGGAGCTGAGAGCAGAGTTTTCTCCTAAACACAAGATGCTGGGGAAGTTTTGAAGATATCCCTCGCCAAAATGACTGATCTGATCACCCTCACACGAGCAGAAGGCACCACAACACCTCCCCAGGAGCTGCAGGTCAAGGAGGTCTAATGAGGAAGGACATTCCCATCTAAGAGGGGAGAAGGGAGTGGGTTGTCTTACAGCTATCACTGATACATCTTTCCAGTATCTCTCATGCTCTGGAGGTGTGCTGCCCTCTCCTAGCTGTGTCCTATCCCTGCAGCGCTGGTGGCCACACAGCTAGGCTGGCAGGTGCCTATCCCAGTGGATCTGCATCCTGGTCAGCTCCCACGGTCACTGGGGTGAAGGCTACAGGCTCTCTCTCTCTCTGAGCTGAGCATCCTCCTCTCAGGACTGCTGTTGGGTTTGTGTCTGTAATGAAACACGGCTCACCACTTGCATAAGAAAACACCAGTTTTGCCCTGTCAGGGCAAGCCTGGCAGCTTATTTTAATGTGCTTGTGATGCTGCTTAAAAGATTTGTTTTCCTGCTCTGTTGCAGGCATGGTTGGGGCTTTCCTTGGCTCCCCCAGTCCCCCCAGACAGCTGGGTACACACAGTGCTGAGGTGGGGCTGCTCCCTGCCAGCTCCCAGGCAGAGCCAGGACCCCAGGACGGCACAGGCAGTTGGAGTGAGGAGAGAGATGATGATTTGGAAGGCAGAGGAGCAATTGCTGCAGCAGTGCCAGTATCTTCCCCAGCTTCTGCAGCACTGCAAGTGGGGCTGCCCCTCACAGCTGGACCTGGGCATGAGAGTGGAGCTCAGGCATCTTCAAAGCCTGTTCCTAAGTCCAGGGAAAAGTCAGAAGGTTTGAAGTTCTCCTCTGCTCCTCCACCTCCTTCTCTTTTCCTGTAACAATTCAGGGGTCCCAGACCACGGGGGTGGGGGGGGGGTGATCAGAGTGCCTGGTTTGGGCAGGAATGTGAGCTGAAGAGGTGGTGGGAAGCTCCCAGAGAAGGGAAGGTCTGTGAGTCCTGGCAAGGGGTTACTGAGGTTCAAGAAGGAGGCCTGAGCCCAGAGTGTCCTGTAGCCACCAACATCCAAGTTCTACTTTGTCCCTCAGCTATGGAACTCATTTGTATTCAAAATATCACTACTTCTCACTTCTCATAAGTTAAACCCACTTAGCATCCCTTCCTTGTGTGACACCCACATCCCTGTCCCTCTAAACTCGCTCAAACCACCCTCAGTTGCAATCCTGCTTGCTGCAACCTGCTTTTGCCAGCATCTCCTCCCCAGACTCCCCCTACTGCCACTGCAACATGGAATTTTCCCCCAGGATCTGCCAAGCCATGACCCTCCGTGTTCCCAGGGCCAGTCCCTATCCAGCCTCTCAGCTGGGTTGAGCACTGTGGGTTCACACCGAGGAGCCACGCTGGCATCACCTTGCAGGCAAGGAGGGGGCTCTGAGCCCCTACAGGCCCCTGTTTATCGCTGGAAGTCCTGTAGTTCACTGCATGCTTCCCCTTCACCCTGTGCTACCCACCCCGAAACTCCTTCTCCAGATGGAAAGCACCCAGTTTAGTTTGTGCACGGACAGCGCGGGAGCCAGAGGAGGCACCACACAGGAGGTTCCTGCAGCTGCAAATGGCAGGCTGAGCACCAAGAAAAGGCACTCACAGACATGATCTGGGGGGGTTGGAGCCCTCCCAAGCACACGCTGCCATCAGCCTCTGCCAGCGCATCAACCTCGAGCAAGCGTTCCCAGACGGGAATGAACAGGGTGCACCTCACGCACAGAGCTGCAGCAGGGTGGGCTGTGGGAGCCACTGCCCAAACCAGTGCTGGTTAAATGCTGCTCCTCCTCATTTCCCTTTGCCTTGTGGCAGCAGGGACCTCCCAGCCAGGCACAGGAACAGAGGGAGCTCATCCTGGGGCTGGAGACAGCAGACTCGTGCGCGCTCTGTGCTCAGCCGGTGGTCGGGGACGCCTGGAATGACCCGTTCTCTCTCTGTCCCGCAGTGGGATTCAATCAATGAAATGGACGAGTTTTTCAGCCCCATCCACACCTACCAGGTCTGCAACGTCATGACCCCCAACCAGAACAACTGGCTGCGGACCAACTGGGTCCAGCGGGACGGCGCGCGGCGGGTCTACGCCGAGATCAAATTCACGCTGAGGGACTGCAACAGCATGCCAGGCGTGCTGGGCACCTGCAAGGAGACCTTCAACCTCTACTACATGGAGTCCGACCGGGACCTGGGCACCAGCACCCGGGAGAGCCAGTTCATGAAGATCGACACGATCGCGGCGGACGAGAGCTTCACCAACGTGGACCTGGGGGTGCGGCGCCTGAAGCTGAACACGGAGGTGAGGGGCGTGGGGCCCCTGAGCAAGAGGGGGTTCTACCTGGCCTTCCAGGACATTGGGGCGTGCATCGCCATCGTCTCCGTGCGGGTGTACTACAAGAAGTGCCCGGCCACGGTGAGGAACTTGGCGTCCTTCTCCGAGGCCGTGACCGGGGCGGACTCGTCCTCCTTGGTGGAAGTGCGGGGAGAGTGCGTGGGCCACTCAGAGGAGAGGGACACCCCCAAAATGTACTGCAGCGCCGAGGGAGAGTGGCTGGTGCCCATCGGGAAGTGCGTGTGCAGCGCTGGCTACGAAGAGCAGCGGGATTCCTGCATGGGTGAGTCTCCCTGCTTCTTGCCTGCAGTGCCTGCCAGGGGAGGGATGGCTGCGAGGGGAGGGATGGCTGCGAGGGGCTCTCGCCTCTTTGGGGAAGGGCTGGGGACAGACACCTGCCCACAAAAACTGGCACAGCCAGCCTCTTGTGGAGGCCCAGGGGCTGCCCAAACCCTTTTGCTGGCTGGCTTCGCGCTTTCAAACGTGTTGTTTGGCCTCTCCAGAACACCCCCCCAACCGCTGGCAGGGGTTGGAAAGGGAGGAAAAGAGAAACACCGAGCTTTCAGCAAGCAAGGTCATCGCGTCCATCCCTCACCCTCCCGGGGCTGCTGCCGAGCCCCGCGCCCGGGGGTGTGGGGAGCTTTCCCGGGGGGTCCCCCTGGGCAGGCTGTGAGCTGTACAAACTGCGATAAGGAGGTGGGGTGACCAGCAGCAGGCGTGCGGCTGGCACGGGGGGCTGTGTGTGCACAGAGCTCCCCGGGAGAGCCCCTCACACAGGTTTGTTTGCGCTGGGTTTCTCCGTGGGATGCGGCGAGGGGGAGCAGCACAAACATGAGCATGGGGGGTGGGGGGGGGCCTTTGTTTGAGCTCCGTGGAAATGTCAAGTGGAGGATTGAGGGACACTCGGCTCAAGGTTAGGACGTCCAGTGCTGGGCTGGAATAGAGCCAGGGGCTGCTGGGACCGGCGCTGGCTCCCACAGGTCCCCAGCTACACAGAGTGGGAAGGGTGAGCAGAATAAAAGGCTTCTATCCCAAACTCCTCCTGCCTGAGACCGTTGATTTCAGAGTTATCCTGGGGTAGATAGGAAAGCATCTTCCATCATGGTAAAGAGTGGGTGGAAGGTGTGTGTGGGGTGCAAGGACCTCCTGGAGGGCTGGGCCCAGCCCCCACCACTGCAAAGAGCTGTGAGTTGGTTCAGAAGGACCAAACACCCAATTTCTGCATCCCCCTCCAGCAGTCCTGTACTGCAGTCTCTGCCCCAGCAGATCCCAAAGCTGGAAGACTGAGGGAATCTGTGGCATCTGTGCTGCCTCATTTTCCTGTGATTCCTCAGACAGGTTTGTTCTCTCCTGCAAGAAAAGCTGTGGGAGAGCTGCTGTGCCCTCCTGCCCTTTTCTGGTGGGATTGCTCCTACCATAGGCATGGCACAGGAGGCAGTGTGGTCCAATATGTGCTCCCAGGTGGCCCTTCTGCATGGAGATGGACCCAGACCCAGCAAAACTCCCCAAGGCCATCGGAAACAGGATGGAAATGTCGCTGGACTTTCTCTGACCTCAGTGTCATCTTCCCCTCCTGCTTTCCCTGTCACATTTTCCAGCTCCCAGCACAGCTGGATGACCCAACATCAAGTGAGCAGGGGCAGCACCTCCTTGCCCTCACCTCCTTTGGTGGGTGGGCGTGGAGCAGGAGTGCACATACTTACACATGAAAGCAAGCAGATGCAAATCTCTGATCTCGTGCCCGATTTGGGCAGAGTTCATTTTTCAGGCTGAAAAAAAAATGCCTTCCTGGAGTGATTTATAACACCAGCAGATCTGTTGGAGTTGGAAATTAGCCGTTTTAATTGTCAGGCGGACAAAAGCAGGATTCCAGCGGCTGTCGCCCCTGCAATTTTTCATTCTCGGCCACAGGGATGAGATGATATAAATCACTCCTAGTGGCCCTAATAATCTTTCTATAAATATCAGGGAAATTCATTTTTTTTTTGCTTGGGCGAGGGGGGCAGGGGGATGTGTGGAAATTAGAGAGGAGATACTTTCCCTCTATGGCAGTGTTTAAAATGTGATTCCAAATTAATTTCCTTCTGCCTTTCACAGCCAGACGCCTTATTTGTCAAAGCTAAAGATGTTTGAACAGCAGAGGTTTCTCCCCCTCCTTTTTAACGTTCATTTTTCTAAGGACCTGCCAGAGTGATGGAGGACAGCTCAGGAAACCAGACCATAGCCAGAGCTGTTCCCAGCCCTTCAGAGGAGAAGGGAGGTTGTGCCACAGAGCTGGGAAGGACAGGGTGAGGTGCCACAGGGTGAAGATGTGTAGGAACACGGGAAACTTCTCTATCTCTCATCCCCTTTACAGAGTCACAGAGTCACAGTCTGGTTTGGGTTGGAAGGAACCTGAAAGCTCATTTCACACAGCCCTGTTGCCCCACTTGTTTTTCCCTCGGTTTTCAAGGTTCTGAAGGACTTTGCTTCCCTCACCCCATCACCCACAGCCTCAGACTCCTTGCTCTTTCCTCCTTGAAATGCATCAGTCCACACATGACACATTAACATCTCTTACACACAGCAAATAGCAACAGCTCTGCCTAAACAGCAGAATAAGCAAGAGGAGGAGAGAAAAGGATCTGTCCCAGCAATTTATCAGATAAGGAGGCAATCAGCATAATTCACCTTATTGATATGCAGCTGCTGTGCAGGACAAATAAGAGATCCATTTCAATAAGGTCAGTGCAATTAGAGAGATGGGAAAGGGGAGCTTGTTAACCCTGGTTTTGCTTCTGTGGGAAGGGAAGGACCCGTAGCCCACCTCCTCAAAGGCTGAAAGCTGGGACATGTGTACCATGTCCTGTGGGTGGATGGATGGATGGAGAGGTGGACAGGAAGCTCAGACAGGTGAGGACAGTGGCTCTTCAACCACACTCCTCCTACCACCCCTTCTTTGGGAAGGGCTGCCAGGCTGAGCCACCACGACCTTGTGTTGAGGTGATGCTCCTTGGACGATGGACCTTGGTAAACCCACGGTCCTTGCATGAGGGTCCACCTTTTGGGGTGGACCTGAATTATTACTTGGGCTGCATCTCTTGCCAGTAATCAGTGGGCAAAGCTTAAAACTGAGCTAAAATCTGTTCAGCCAGGTTGTCCACACACAGAGAGCCAGTTTGGAGCATCCCTGGCAGTGCCACAGGTACGGATCATGGTGCTGCTCTCTGGGAGCTGGGGTACATCCCTGGCTTTCAGGAGCAGTTCAGACATCTCTGTCTAAAGTTTGGGAACAGGAATCTTATCCTCTGGCTGCTTTCCCTCTGCTGTGCTTGGGGCCTTCAACCTGGCTGCTCCCTTTGGGTGGAAAACAGAAATGGGGGAGCAGCAACTGAGCAATTCCCAATTCCATCTCCATCAGCCCATTTGCACATGAGGATAGGTGTTTACAGCCACCAAACACGGGTTTGCTGGGTTTGGCTGAATGAGGATTTGGCCCTGGTTTAGATTTTCCCAGCTCTGCTTCAGCCAAGAAATGGCCTTTGTCCTCTAGACAAGAGAAGAGAGGGAGGCTGCCACTGCTCTTTCCTCTCCAGCTCCCAAACCGAAGGAGAAGTGGGAATAGGGGAAGGACTGCTGGGCTCTCTCCTGCCTCCAGTGGGACACTGCTGGTGGAAACGGATCTGGAGAGTCTGGTTGGCAATCTGGAAGCCAGTTAATTTTTTCCAGTTGGTGGGATTCATGCTGATGAACCAATCAGCAGATTTAATGTACCTTAAACCTTCCTTGTGGGCAACTTTAATCGAGCAATTAAAGAACCACGGCATTGCTAATCAAGAGGAGAAAATACCCAGCTTGGTAATTATGTGCTTGTGAATACAGTTTTGCATCCCTGGACCTATATGAAGGAAGTCAGCTGGTGGGGCAAGGGGGGAGCAGACCTTAAAGCTCATCCAGTTTCTGCCATGGGCAGGGACATCTTCCACCAGCCCAGGTTGCTCCAAGCCCCATCCAACCTGGCCTTGGACACTCCCAGGGCTGGGGCAGCCACAGCTTCTCTGGGCATCCTGTGCCAGGGCCTCACTGCCCTCACAGGGAACAATTTCTTCCCAATATCTCATCTAAACCTACTCTCCTTCCTTTTTTCATTAGGAAAGACTGACCTAGAGGCTTATCCAGCCCTGGGATGGGATCCTTGGATTCACACTTGTCTCATACCAGGACATCCAGCTCACAGTCACAGCCCTGGCTGCTGGTCTGCTTGGATCCCAGGGGTGCTGGGTGGTGTGTGTGGCTAATTCAGGTCAGTGAGGAGGCTGGAGAAGGCAGGGGGGCAGGACAAGGTGATCCCGGTATCTCCAGCACACTCGCTGCCTCCTCTCAAATCCCGTGGCTAATTGCAATTACTTGGGAAACAAAACAAAGCAGCACCCCAGCACCTAAACCTATTTATTTAGATTTCTGGTAAGGAACAAACAAACAGGACAGAGGTACCTGCAGAGCTGCCCTTGGCCCACCAACACAACAACACCGTTTTTGTCCCTGGCTGAATATTTCATTGTTTACCACTTTTCCTCTGAGTTTTCTGAGTCTCTCTGCTGACAGAGATAAAAGGTGAGAATGATGCTGGGCTGGATTTCAGGGGAGTGATTGGGGATGAAACAAATTTCATTTGTGCTTAGTAGGTCTCTGTGGCCCCTCTAAGAAGTGCCAAAGAGCAGCTGGGCTGTGATGAATGGAACTGGCAGCACTCAAAGACATTCACCACTTTGGGAATGTGTGGGGTTTTTTTGTTTGGGTTTTTGTTTGTTTGTTTGTTTGTTTGAACTCTTCCACGGAATTTGGCTGAGTTCAGGTGGAGAACGCAGGTTGTCACTCTGGATTTCCAACGTGCAGGTGCCCAGGAAGCTGTTGTTGGGGAGTTGGGACGCAGAGAGACTGCAGGAAAGACCTGGAATTCTGCACCAGTCCTTTCCCTGGGGATAGTGTGACACAGTGGGGGGCTGGGGACCTCAAATTCCCCACCAGCATATTCAGAGGCTTGCTGTGATTGCTTTGCACGGGGAAGATGCTCCTCATCCCACAGAGCAGTAGGACCCTGCCAAAAAATTGTTCTGTACTTGGCATGAGCTCCAGATCCCACCCCTGTCACTGCTTTGTGTGATGACTTCCCCCCCTTCTGAAAACAAGATGACGCTGCTGACACTTTTCCATGCAGGAGAAAGGGATCCAAAGGCTGGTGGAGTTCAGCTGGGTGTGGGTGAGGGCTGTGCTGGCCACTGTGATGCTCCTCACCTGCTGGGG